AAGGCATAGCTGGAGGAATGCAGCTGGTGAAAATGCACAGATTTCCCAGTAGTCCCATTCAAACAACTTAGTTAATGCTACAGGTCCAAAACGCGACAAACTCCATTCCCATGCATGTTTTCGTGACAAGGATTCGTCTGAACAACCAGACCACTACAAACAGTAGAGTGATGGCTACTTGGGTAGCAATCCACCACTGTTCTGAGCTGTTTTAGGAACTCAGATAAGTCCATCTCAAAGCTTGCAAGGGACCAGTTTCCCCTAGGCCTGTGAGCATTGATTTGCTGGGGAGCCACATGGCCTGACCATTGGGTACCACCCTGTTTCAAGACATGATGACTTTTCCAGGGGATTGGTTTTTTCCATCTTGTGAGCCTCCATTCACAGGCATGACGGATATGCTTGTTTTCTTGTTGCCATGGACAACATTGTTTGGGAAGTCTGTGATTGCAGCCAAGTAAACCAGGGTTCTGTTTCTAACCTGGCTGGCATAGTTTCTACTGCAGACAAGCAATTACACACTGCCTGCTGGATATTACGACCAAGGGAGAGTTGGTCTTGGTTTGCACATGGCCAGATACAACATCATAGACAAAGAAAGGAGTGGATGTGCTTCCTCTCCCCCGCCCCCAGTGCTGTCTTTGCTTGTTCAGCTCAACACCAGGACTATTTGAGGTTCCAAAAGCAGCTCAGGCAAACGTTATGACCCCTCTCAACAAGGAAGCATTAGAGGATTCACAGTGGACACTGGATGAAAAGCAAAGCTCTGTCCTTAAGAGAACACAGCAAGACAGCTGGGGACAAGCCTTGTTCGGAGCATCTTTGTTAACACTCAGTCAGTTCTAAACCAATATCCTTGCTGTCGAAATGATCTGCATTGGTTTTTCCATCAAGCCAACCAATATCTGTTCATTCTTGACTTGAATAATCACTAAACACTCTCTAAAAGCAGCTCATATAGCTGCCAGGAAGGACTGTGCTGGGCATATTCCTTTTTTTCTTTCTTTTTTTTTTTTTTTTAATTGCATTGAAGAAAGATGGTCTTGGCAATCTATAACATGTACTTAACCATCCATATGCTGTCTCTCTCATATATGTATTTGTGCGTATGTTAGAATTTTTCCTAAGTTTTGTGTCAGTAGACATTACAGGGATGGAAGAACAGGCTATCTTTTTTCTTCCCCAAATAGTTTATTCTTTCCACATCCTAAAACTGGGTAATATTCCCACAGTTTTTATCCCATTACATAAAAGTCTTAGAGATTTTCCTATTGATAGAAGTCTAAGGAGAAATCCCTTAAGTCCTGTTATCTAGTCCACCTTCTCTGTGCCTCTGAGGAATATATTTTACATTATTTGTGGTTTTCAGGTTTTAGCTAATATGAATATCCTTATTAACCTTTGCACTGATACTATAGTTTCTCCTAAGAAGTCCAGGGAGAAAAAGTGGCTCATCTGAAAATTTTAGATGGAGTAATAAAGACCGGCAAGACTGTCTTTGATTATCCAGTCTGACTTCATACACGCACAATTCCTGAATGAGCTACCATGTCTTTTTAAAAGGCCATTCAGCTCTGATTTTAAATCAGTACATACATTGTATATATGTATGTATATATGAGTACAGACAGTGGGAGCTTTTGGACTGAAGAATCCCAGGCTGTAGCCAACAAGACAAGCTGTGGGTGTCTATATGGAAAATCTTAACACAAGAAAGATTGAGAAGTCTTGTTCCACTTGAACTGAAATTATTCTTAAAAAATAAATAACAAAGCCTTTTCTACATATTAACCTTGCTCCTCCTCCCATGGCAATTTGAGAGACAAAGCAGCATACTCAGTGTATGCCTAATCACCTTTTAGCATTAAGATTTTACATTCCGCAACTTGATGAAATATAAACAGTTAATGATTTTAAAAAAGGAGCCAATTATTCGTGTAGGCATTAATAAGACCTATGATGTTAAAACAGGCCCAAAATCCAAGTTGATTAAAAAAGCTCCAGGAATAGAAGTGAATAAATTCTCATATTCTCTATGCCACCTCAGTGTAGGTGGCTTGGCTATTTGCAAACAGAGATAAAAATCTGCGAGCAATGATTCGGACTCCCACACCTCAACTTGTTCAGGGAGCAATCATGTTCATTCGGAGCCCCTGATTTGACTGAATTACTTTAAATCATCAGCACAATGGGGAAAATGAGGGAAGCATAATCAGAGAGATATTCAGAAATGTTCTACCCAACATTATTAGCAAAGTTTTATTCAACATAAACCTGCTTCAAGATTCACGAGCACACTTGTGAATGCCTGCTGAATTTAGATGGCTTTTCCCCCAGTGTCTGGCAGAAGAGAAAATAAATGCTTACTGCACCATTGCTTTGATAGTATGCAAATAATTTTTCATGGGGTAACTCTGCTTAAAAATTACCGTCAGCATGACTAAAGCATAGCATTCCATTATCAGATGGTAGAAAGTTCAAACTTTCAGTGAGCGAGCAGATACTAACTGGGGAGTACTTCTGCCTAGCCAAAGGGATGACAATAGAAACTATTTTAGTTTTTTTTTTCTGTCTTTTTATAAATAGTTACAAACACAAAAATGACTGTACTCTGAATGGATTGAATCTGTGAAGATCCATAAAGCCTTTTAGGAACACAGGTGGAGGCAGCCTGCTTAGAGCCAACAATACGGAAAAACAAACACTTCATCTTTATCCCCAAGTGAGCAAATCTTTTAAGAAAATTCTATACTACTGAACTAGTAACAGCTCAGACCTTAATTAAAGAAAATTTATGTACTTCATGACTTCAAATTAACAGGACTTTAATTGTTGTCATCTGCAATGCTATTTTTCAGATTGCCTTTAATGATCATAGTGTAACTGTGCATATGCTTTTGTAATATAAATAATTCAACCATTTAATTTCAACTTTTTAAAATGGCACAAGGACAAGTCCACCTGATGAACTAATGACCTGCAAAACTTTAGATTTAATGAGCTATGCAAAAGATGACAAATCAATGCTAAAACTACATTTTCAAAACATATCTGTAGTACAAACTTTCAGCCCAGAACAATAGCATTTATTCTAGGAAACATCACTACTTAGTTTGGTATGCATCCTTGATTATCTCAGTCTTATTCCAATCACTGCTCTTTCTACTTGAAATAGGAGATCCAAATCATCCAAGCAACTTCAAAAAAGAATCATTAAAAAGTCTTTACATCTTTCCCTTTCAAAAACATGCAATAGTCCACACTGGTTTTCTGTGATATGCTCACAAGGCCAACATTTCCAACAGAATTTATGAACTGCAAGATTCAATTCTGGGGTGCTAATTTTTTGGTACTGTAAAGAGGTTTTTGGAGAATGAGCTTTAGGACTTAATAAGCCATCATTTGGACACAGGAGGTCCACTGACACGCATCAACAGTCTTCTCAGAAAATGGAAGTACATCCCTTCCCCTAAGGAATCTGGTAATGCAACAAATACTGAAAAACCTGCCTCAACACAACTAATCTCTGCATCACCTAGGAGCTAATCTTTCACTTCTCAGAGGTAAGAAGCTTGACAAATTATTCTGACTCTATTTTAGGATCACAGATCATTGGTGGTGGGTTGTAGGGTTTCGGGGGGGGCTTCTTTTCTTGCTCCTTCTCTTCCCTTCTTCTCTATAGACTCTGCCTCCTTACCCCAGTAGAGAGAGTTGGCGCTGCATAGCAGCACTGCCAAGTCTGAAGGAAGGAGGCTTGAAGCAGGTGAAGCTGCTGCCGGAAAGTGGTCAAAGAGTTCAGAGAAAAGAAAGGGCCCAAGGTGCCTCACTGAGGTGCTGTTGTTTATCCTCTCCCCTCCTCCATCACAGAAGCACAGAAATAAGCCAGGAGAAAAACATTTGAATTCTGCTTCACTGTTTGCCTCAATGATTGGGAACCACCAATATAACACCAATAAGATGGGCTTTTCCTTGGCGAGGCTGAGACTTCAGATGGGAATAGACAGCAGCATAAGCTAAAGCTGATCTCCTTATATAGAAGGGCTAAATATATCTCTATGCATATTATTGGGCGCTTCCACAGGATAGGAACAGCCAGTAGGGGACCATATCCTTCTCCTCTCAGAAATGAAGTGATGCTAGTTGGGTCACACACACACTTATAGTAGGGATATTTTAGCAAAACAAAAACACAGAAAACTTCGCCAGAGTTACCTCTATACAAAGCTGTATCATATGCCATGACAATTGGGGATGAACAAGTTTAAAAACCAAACAAAACACCTAGGATGTTTACCAATTCTCTTGTAAGTCTTCAACACTTTCTGATGTTTTATCAAGGTACTGGTTAAACCTTCTTGTTTCAGTGGAACAACATAGATTGTAGTTCAGGACCTCATCTGACTGATGCAGAAAGCGTTTTCTAAAGTATATACAACTAGGAGAACACATGGAGTCCATAGCAGCTGAAAATTAACAATAAAAAACAGGAAGGAGCTCTGAGGTTGAGGTTAAGGGCAGCATAACAAGGATAACAGCCTGAAACCAGGAAAAGAAAAATATAAGTCTGACATTCGGAAAACATTTTTTATCAGGAAGATCATTAGATAATGGAATAATTTCCCAAAGGAAGTTGTTGAGTCAAACACTAGAGGCATTCAAAGGAAGCCTAGATAAAAAAAGCCCAGGCAATTGATCTGGAGGGCAGCCCTGCACTAATGACCCAAGAGGCTCTTTCCAGCTCATTGAGGATTTTGCTCTTGAAAAACTACAATTCTGAACTTCCACAGCAACATGTGAGCAAAAAGTAAATACAAAACAGCATAAAACAGAGAAGATATTTAACCAGAAGGTTTTCAGCTTACAGACTTTTTCCTTGGTAATACCAATAATTTGTATCTATATAGGTATTCATTATATATAACAAATCCCATCACATATTTATCAATACAGCGACACTAAGAAAACATATCAAAGCTATGAAACATAGCTATAAAACTTACCTTGTGAAACACAATGGACATCATGAAGAAATCCATCAAGAAGTTTTCCGAAATATCTTTGCAGTCAAATCGGAAGAAGATTACAGTAAAGCTCAAAGTAACAAACTGATTAATAGGATTACAGAATGAGGAGCGGAGAAGTTTCATCCCAGCAACTGTTATCAGGATAATATCACAACTGTGAGAAAGGCAGAAAGAAAAACCTAATCAAGTCAAAGTAATAAAAACATAAAATTATGAAGCTGTTAAATACAAATAGCTGTACCAGATGTATTTTGGATTGCTAGGTATATCTAATCTTACACAGCTTATTGATTTCTAATATTGATATTATGTTATGTTTTAATAATATTCATTTACCCATCTGCAACAGCATAACTTTTCCTCGCCATTACTACACGTTTACAATCTGCAATAAAGAAATAATACTGTATTGTAAGAGTAGTATAAACTATTAAGAACCAATGTACAAATGTAAAAAATGTAAAAAATAATTTTTTATATTGCTTTTAAAATACAATTTCAGTTTGGGAATTTATCTTAGCAGGGTCTATTAATATATTACCTTAATTTGAGAAAATAGCCTGAGGCCATTCAATTTTTGTCTTTATTACTGGAATCTGCAGTTGGTGACAGAGATTATAAAAACATTCTAACTTTATCATGCATTATGCCACAATCCTGGACAGAAACATCCACAGATTGGGAGTGCTTGAAGCTTTTATCATTGCTCTTTAGCTGAATGTTGTCTCTTCTGTATATTAATTTCTTCATCAGATGAAAAGAAGTTATACATTGCATCTATATGTGAGAAAATGTATGCAATCTTTGTTTTACTCTCCCTTATTATATTACAGAGAACGAATTGAAACTGAAAATTCTAAATAATAAATGCCCACACAGAAAATCAACAAGCCTATCTCAAAAAAAAAAAAAAAAAGTGTTTGCTGCTACATCTCCAAGAATACAATATGCCTCTTTCCACTTTTCAAAAATCTCTCCATTAACTATACAGTAAGGAAAAGTACAACTATACAAGAAGGAAAGATGGCAGGAATATATCAGCCTTCCTTTAATTTAGAAAACTACTAGTCTCTGTACACATATCTGTTCTGTGAGACTTTTAGTTGTTCACATATTTTAGCTTTAAGATAACTTCACAGAATTAGAAAGATGGGCTTACTTAGACCATAATTTTGATCTCTTGATGATTACAACCCGTTTTGGGGGGTTAGATCCTAGAAAGGGCTCAGATGCGTACATTATTAACTTTTAGGTCACCAAGATAGAATCCAAATCCAATGTCAAGCATGCTGGCTCCTTCTTCAGCGTGAGGGAGGACCAGGCAGACTGCTGAGCAAGGCAACTATTTAGAGACTGTCAACAGGAAAGCCTTAGAATAGTGATGTGTGTGAAAATACTTCCCCTTCTTAAATCACCTTGACCCAAGACTGCAGGTAAGGATCCTTTGCCTACTCCAGCATGGCTAAATGCTTCTCATCACTCTTGCAGTGAACTGAGCAGGCTCTTTTCTTTCAGAGGAGCACTAGTGATGCCAAATATTTCTGCAGCAGCCTACTGGTTAGAACACTTGCTGGGGAAGGAAGGAATCCAAATCCAATCGCTTCCCAGCTCCAGAGGGACTCAGATGCTCATCTCACCCCTCTAAGGCTCCCTCAACTCCTTCTGTTGAATCTGTGCCAAGAGTTAAAGTTTCTTTTAGCCAGAGAGACAGAAGGGGATTCTACAGCCTTGCTCATGGGCACTCCCCAGAGATGGGAGATGACCACGAACACCAGCATGGTTCTATATTTTATCCAACAACCGCTACAACATACAAGGTTAGCAGCAGGAATTAGGACCCAAGACTCCTATAAAAATCCCCTTACCACCAAAGCAGGAGAGATCAAGAGCAAACAGTTCTTCAACAGCCTCTGTTTTCCTGGTAAATGCTTTCCAGTTAGACTCTTGTTAAATGAAATGGGCAATACCTCCTTCTCCATCCAGGTCTTTAAAAAGTAGTAAATTAAAGCAGTATTTTGTGGATCCAATCCTATTCACATATTCGACATGCATCAAGAGCATCTCTCAGCTCAAAACTCTTGGGTTCCTGGGTCCTGGCCAGGACTGCTTATGGAACAAGTGCTTTATTCAACCAGGAAAGCTCTGAGCATGTTCAGAAGTACCCCTTGAGCCTCCAAATAACCATCAAGTCAAACTCAGCAGTATTTAGTGATAGGCACCTTCAGGATTTTCTGGCAGTTGAACAGGAATGTCTGAATTGTGGTTTTGCACTTTGATGCCTAGGAACTATATTGGATCTATTCCTGAAAACACAACCCAAATCTATTAGATATGTTCAAGTAGCTCCCTGTGATCTGGGAGCCAGATGATGCCTCTTAAATAATGCAAGAACACTAATTTTTTGGGGAGTTTGTTGTTTTTAATGTTGGCAACAACAGACAGGGAGCTTAATCCATACCGAGTGACTCAATGAAGCAGGCCAAGTATTTGCAAAATGCAGGGAGGGTTCTCCCCCACCATGCTATGAACCAGGAGAATACCTGCTGCCATGAGTAACACTTGACAGCTCAGAAACCTCTGAATAAGCCTGTGTTTTCATCATTTTAGTAAGGCTCAGAGCCTGCATATTTCCAAGCTGATTTTGTGTGGCATTTATTCATTACTGTGTATCTCCCTTAATGCAAATGCAACTTTATTTGAGTGCAGATCATTCTAAAGGATCACCAGGACATCACTGAATAAACGAAATGCCAAGTGACCTTCTTTCTTACCCTGTCAAAGCTGTTCCTTTCAATCATCCCCAGATTTCCAAACGGAAAACCTAGCCGCTCAGTTAAACAGATTCCAAAATCATCAGAAGCCATCCCAGTGTGTCATGAACAACTGGTTGGATCTCGTATTCTTCAGAAAGAAGACAATTCTTGCAACATGGAGTAATTTCACAAGAAAAATCAACAGCAAAAGGAAGACTTTTTCTTTACTAGGTCTGTTAACATCCACAAAATTTCACACAGAAGAAGGCTTTATAAAATAATGTTCTCACAAGGTAACAGAAAATAATTTGCACATTATCCCACTTCTTTAACGATATTGCCACACAAGATGCTTTTTCTGAGGCCTTAAACTCCCAGTAGACAGAGAGAGAAGAAGAGCTTATTTCTGAAGCCTTTGTGGTAGGTAACGTGGGAAGGCGTTTCAGGTTGTCAGCATGAGTCCCATTAATAACTAGCACATCAGTGCCTGGAATTTTCAAGTAAACTCCTGTCTGTGAAGGAAGATATTCCAAGAAGCAAACTGCATCAGCCCTTTAAAACACACATTAAAACTGCTTAAAAAAAAAAATGCACCCAAGTGGAGAAAAACTCCAAAATAAAATCATACAAAACCATGTCACTTCAGATACTTTCAGTCACAGAATGAAAGAACGCTTTCCCTTCTCTAAGGGATGATATGGTCTGCTCCTTGGATGGTAAATAACTAGGGCATGTTCAAACAACAGTAAATGTGTATTTACATATTAAAGCACAGAAAAGCACAACCCTCAGTAGCACAGTATGCAAAGGACCAAGAAGAATCCAGGGCCACCTCATTTATTCCCAGCAGTTTTGTTGTGAAACCTTAGCTCCTGATGCCTAGCAACAGTGCTTATGGGAAACCTGTGCAGAATAGGAGACAGCAAAGCATCAGGAGAAAACAGTCTAGTAAGATTGTAACAACGAAGTGACACCACAGGTATAAACCACTTCTGTTTTCTCCTGTCTCAGGCCTCTTCCGTTATCAGAGAGGACAGATCAGGAGCGAGCCAGTGCGGAGCAGAAAGGCAGGTTCAGCATCATATGGAGTAAGAAGGGTGTATCTCCAGCTGTCACCTGGGTAAACGTAGATTTATACCTCAGTATAAATCAGTATACTTCAGATCAGTAGTAGTCTTGACACAGCAGCATTCACCCAAGACTTGCTTGGGCATTATAGTCTGCATGGAGCCATGGCTCCACTGCTGTCAGTACTAAAGACATATAGGGCTAAGCCACAGCATATCTTTGACTGAAGTCTGGGCATACCTTAAGTGGAATTTCTCTGAACAGCATTCAGGAATTGTATTTTAATAGGCATGCTTAAAGGTAGTTTTAAATCCAAGATGATCACACAGACACAAGAGGGAAGGAGAAGAAAAGTATTGTTATGCTATTCCCCTAAAGGCTAAACAATCGGAGGCAGGAACAAATGTAATTACTTCCTTTAATGTCAAGATTTTGGGGAGACTGACTCACTGCTTTTGAACACTTGAGGCAGGTGATACTTTAAATTGCAGTCTAGCTTTGAAGAATGACTGCATATAAATATCACCTTCTAGCACCTTCTTAACTCTACACATTTGTTCTGTGCATGTATTCAGTCACGTCTGCTAACTAGTAACAAATGAAGTTTTGATTACTTTTTAGTTCTGCCAGCCTTGCAAAACCAAATATAGTGTGTGACCTCAAATTTACCCTGGACAACACATGTAAGCTCCTAAACCACTTTGGTCCTATCATCTCCCAAGTGCCTGAGAGAAAAAGCTCAATGGGAAACTACATAGGTTATCTTTGAGTGAGTGTTGAGAGTCTCTCTGGAAAAGCAGTTGTCTCGGAGGAATACATGCAAAATTTGGCTAACACCCTAGCTAGTTTTAGCTCCTAAGAGCAGGTACCATCTTTTTCTTATATTTGTGCAGTCCCTAAAGCTCAGGACCCTGTGTTCCTCTTTAAGGGAGAGGAACAATTAAAACAACACGTTGTATTTTTTACATCAACTTTTTTTTTTTGTAGACTACTTAAAATTTTAATTCTAAA